AGCTCGGCCGAAAGTTTCTCAATGAATATAAAATTTCGGATTTTGTCGTCAAAGGTTATAAATGTTATAAATATTTTTTTTCGATTTAGATTATAACTGCTGTGGCCTCTAATTCCCTCAAGAAAGATTATTTTTGCAATGTGTGCTGCTTTTGGCTACCGTCCATCAGTAATTCACTAACATCGACTTTTATCTTCTCATTTTGGGAAAAAAAGGTTAAATAACTAGTTTGTCTATCAGCTAAAACCGCTTTCAGTTGCACTCTGCAATGGCAACTTCCAATGATTTGATCCAAAAGGGATTATATTGTTTATTAAACAGACTCCCTTGATAGATAAGGCAATATATGATTTTGGAAGATTTTCGAAACATTTATATTACTCAGGTAGCATGTCTATAAAAGGTACTATTAATGAGATTGAATTTCATGGCTTTGTTTCTGATTGTTTTGCTTCTTACTAATTTCGTAGAGTTTTCTTTCTTCTTTATTTCTTTTCTTGCCTTATTTCTGTTTATTTTTATATTATTCTCTTCCTCGCAGGCAAACGGTGAAAATAACTTGGCGCGTAATTCTCTCTCAGATATCACGGTGTGGATAACCCTTTCTATTCTTTCCGTTTTTCTTATCCCCCCCTTTCTTTGTCTTTCTCCCCTTTCAATCTCTCCTTTATTGCTAAACATTTTCTCTTCGCTTTTGCTCGAAGCTCAACGGTGAAGCTAACCCGACGCGCCATTCTCTCAAATATCACGGTGTAGATAACCTTTTCCTTTTCAAGTTAATAATTTAAAAAAACAAGCCTGTTCGCGGAATTGGTTCAGGTGATCAATGATATTGACATGAATATAACTGGTCGTTAATATTTGTAGCAATTGATGGCTGCTAGCATTGATGTATGTGCATATTGTGTGTGTATGTGTGTGTGTGTGTGTATGGTGTGTGTGTATGTGTGTGTGTGTGTGTGTGTGTGTGTGTGTGTGTGTGTGTGTGTGTGTGTGTGTGTGTGTGTGTGTGTGTGTGTGTGTGTGTGTGTGTGTGTGCGTGCATTTGAAAGAATCATTCATTAACAGACCATGCATAAACTAAAATGTTTTACGAATATTTTAAAATGTCATCCTTAAATTCACAAGCGGGATTACATGTAAAAAAAAGGAAAAAAAGAAAAAAAATACTATATAAAATACAAAAAAAAACATATTTGTACCTAGTAACAACCGGTTACCCCCCCCCAAAAAAAAAAAAAAATACATTGAAAAAAATAATAATGGAAAACACAAACATATGATAATTAAAAGGAAAATATGACAGCTAAATTCAAACACAGAAATGCTCATAGTCTTTGTAAACACGTATATGTTATCAAAAAAAAAAAAAAAAAAAAAAAAATGAAAAGTAAATACAAAATGTAAACACCACCTTATGGCAACAACGTGTTAAAATCATATACTTTTTATGGCTTTTTCTCTATTTTCATTATCCTTATTATTATCATTGCTATCGTCATTATTGTTACTTTCACTATTACTATTTTTGGTATTGTTTATATGATGATGGTAATGGTTTTGATATTATTAATGGTGATATAATGATGATAATGATAATAGTGATGACATTTTTTTTTATCATAATCATTATTATCATTACTGTCATCTTTATTATCATTTTCACTATTTTCATTATCATTATTATAATCATTAAATTTATTATTATCATTGTTATTGTCATCATCATTATTATTACTACTCCTACTACTATTATCATTATTATCACCATTATCATTAATGCAACATACATACCTGACAGGACACACACACACACACACACATACCACATACACATACACACATGTAACCCCCCCCCACATAAACGCACACACAACACCCTCCCTTCCACACCCACCCACCACCTCCCACACACACAATCCCCCCCTCCCCTCCCACACCCACCCACCCACACAAACACACCCCCACACACACATACTCTCCCCTCCCCCACACCCACCCACATACACACCACCCACAAACACAACCTCACCCTTCCACCCACCCACACACATACAACACACACACACACACTCCCTCCCCTTCCACACCACCAAACACAACCCCACCCCCCACATCCACCCCCCCACACACATACAACCCTCTCCCCCTCCCCACCCTCCTCCCACCCACACACACACAACCCTCCCCTCCCCTTCCACACCCACACAAACACAACCCCCACCCTCCACATCCTCCACCCCACCCACCCACACAAACACAACCTCCCCTCCCTTCCACACCCACCACACCCCCCTCCACCCCACACACACACACATCCTTCCACACCCACCCACCCAACCACACACCCACCCACAACCCACCCACACCAACCCCCACACACACATTCCCTTCCACACCCACCCACCAACCCCTCCACCCCCACACTCCACACCACCCACAGCATAACCCCTTACCCCTTCCACACCCACCCCCCACCACCCACCCACACCCACCCACACCCCCCACCCCACCCCCCACACCCCTCCCCACCCCTGCAGATTCAACATCCACTGAAAACGAATACGCATTAAACCCCAGTGACAATTGGTGAACGAAAATCATCATTCCAACAGTTTAGCTTATCTGACATAGAGGGAGGGGGTGCAGGTGGAGGAGGGGGGGGGGGGAAAGTGGGGTGGGGTAGGGGTGGGAAGGTGGGGGATAAGGGGGTGTGTGTGAGGTGGGAGGTATTGATCAGTAGGGGTGGGGGATGGTGAGTGGGGTGGTGGGGGAGGGAGGGAGGGGGAGAGGAGGGATGGGGGATGGGGGATAGGGGGATAGAGGGATGGATGGATGGAGGGAGGGAGGGAGGGAGGGAGGGAGGGAGGGAGGAGAGAGAGAGAGAGAGAGAGAGAGAGAGAGAGAGAGAGAGAGAGAGAGAGAGAGAGAGAGAGAGAGAGAGAAGAGAGAGAGAGAGAGAGAGAGAGAGAGAGAGAGAGAGAGAGAGAGAGAGAGAGAGAGAGAGAGAGATGGACAAGAAAGTAGGTTAGGTGCAACAGAGGGAGGGAGGGGGTTATGGGTGGGGGTGTGGATGGAGAATGAGTAGGACAAGAATAAGAAGATATTTACAAAAGGATAAAATAAAGAAAATGAGACAGTAGGTAATTTGGTGTTGTACCCTCCCTCCACCCTCAAAAAAAAAATAAAAATAAAATAAATAAATAAAAAAAATAAACAAAAATAAATAAAAATAAGATAATAAAATAATAAAAAGAAAAAAAGAAAAAAGAAAAAAATATATTCAACTCTTGTCATTCTTTTTCATAAATGACTAGCCTTAAAAGTCGAATTTAGCGCGCAGAAAAAAAACTAAATATCATTTTATATCCCTTTTGACATCAGATCTAATTCTAATATTTGGAGCCAATTGCAGTTATCTTTGATTGCAAGATAGAAAGAAAACCAGCCGATGTCTATGCAAATTAGGGTGGGTGGAGCTCAAGGTGGGGGGGGGTGAGGGGGGGAGGGGGAGGGAGGGATCGTTAGGGTGTAGATCTTTGCAAAACGTCGAAGGATTTTTTTTTTGTTGATTTTTATCCTAATTCATTTTGTTTTTTTGTTTTGTCGTTTTGATTGGGTATTTCTTTGATGTTTTGTGGAATTGTTTTTATTGATTGAATTGCATTTTTGTTTTTTTTTTTTGTTTTTTCTTGTGATTTATTTTTTTGTTTTATTTAAAAGAGAAAAAAATTGTTGTGGAGTTTTTGTTTGTCTTTGTTTCCTGTTTCCGAATTTTGTTCTCTGTTTTATTATACTATTTGCTTTACTGTTATCTGTTTTGTCTGTCTGTCTCTTTATCTGTCTTTAGTCTTTCTCAGCCTGTCTGTTTGTCTATCTTTCTCCTTCTCTCTCTTTTCTCTTTCTCTTTCTCTTTCTCTTTCTCTTTCTCTCTCTCTCTCTCTCTCTCTCTCTCTCTCTCTCTCTCTCTCTCTCTCTCTCTCTCTCTCTCTCTCTCTCTCTCTCCTCTCTCTCTCTCTCTCTCTTTTCGTTTTTCTCTGTCTCTCTTTCTCTCTTTCGAACTTTTTTTTTGTTCCACCTTTTGAAATTTTAATGTGTAATCTTATTAGTAAGTAAAATGAATAACAAATACATGAAACAATAGAAGAAAGAAGAAATAAACTCACGCCACACCACACACACACACACACACACACACACACACACACACACACACGCACACACACACACAGCACACACAACACTCAAAACAACACATAATGATATGTATTGTTGTTTGCGGTACAAACAATGAAGAAATTATTTTTTTTTTTTTCAGGGCAGAGTGGATGCAAGTCAAAAAACAATATCATTTTTTTGTGTTATTATTAAAAAACAAACAAAAAACAAACAACAACATTAACTGTATTTCTCTTCGCAAAAGGGACATTGTTATAGCTTTACAATGGTACTGAATCTAATTTGTTAATCTCCTTGAGAAAACAGCGACAAAAAAAAAACACAGAGAACGGACACCCAAAAAAGGAAATGAAAGAGAAAGGAGAAAAACATTTTTTTTTTTTTTCGAGTTCATAAATGTTTTGACATCTGTTGAGTTGAATATGACTAGAAACATTCTATACCGAGTGTCTGTGTTTTATTTCAATCTCTAAATATATTCAATGTCTTTCATTTTTCCTACGATTATTATTAACTTTGAAAAATTCCAAACTCCCTCCCTTCTCAAAAAAAAAAAAAAAAAAAAAAAAAAAGAAAGAAAGAAAAATCGACGTAGTTAACGTAAAGAAGTTGGAAAAAAACATGACAAAAACAACAGGAGAAAAAATGCATGTTTCTTTGTACATTGTGAAATTCCCCAACAAGGAGTAATAAACCGCCTGATATCTTGGTCTACGTGTTTATCGCCATCACGCTTCCTGTTTTTCTTTTCTTAGCAGCGCGGCGCAGTCACGTCCTGACTGAAGTTTTATGTATTTTAACCGGTTTTCGTCTTTTAGAACATGCTTTTGCAAGATTGCTTTGTTCGGTATGACTGTGGTATATCATTTTGTCATCCCTATAGTGTTTTTTTGAATTGTAATTGTTATTAAAAGGATTTTGCGTTTTTTTTCTCTTTTGTTTTGGATGGGATACATTTCGTCGACTTTGATGACGAGTTTGATGCAAGAGCGTCTATCTCTCTTGAGTTCGTTATGTAATAAGTATGTTTGTTGTTACAAAATGGTCGACACTTGTACTGTCATTGTCATCAAAAGAAAACTTGGCGAGATCTTTTTTTTTTTTTTTTTTTTTTTTTTTTTTTTTTTTGATAGGATACATTTCGTCGACTTTGATGACGAGTTTGATATAAGAATGTCTATCTCTTGAGTTCGTTGTTATGTCATGAATGTTTTTGTTACGAAATGGTTGACACACCCTTCCTGTCATGCCTTCTACTATCTTTTATTCTTGTTTCATTGATACATAACAATATAACCATCTTTGAACATTAATGAAAAAATAAAGAATGAGGAGGAACGGAAGGAAGGCGAAGGAAAAAGTAAGACAAAAAAGGGAGACAATTAATACTAACCTATATTATTTAATCAAATATTGCTAAGCTGTTGTACCGTAACAGTAGAGAACTTGACCTTGGCGGGAAGTCTGGGGCGATAAGCAGAACTTCCGAACTTAGGAAAGATGAAGAACAGTGTTACGACGAATCATAAATAGGATTAAAAAAATATGTATACGTTTGGAGGAGGTTGGGACATAGGCCTATATTATGTACGAAGAATCATTAGTTTTTTTTATTAATACGTTTGGAGGAGGGTGGGACATAGGCCTATATTATGTACGAAGAATCATAAATATATTATAATACGTTTGGAGAGGGTGGGACATAGCCTATATTATGTACGAAGAATCATAATAGTTTTTTTTTTTTAATTACGTTTGGAGGAGGGTGGGACATAGCCTATATCATGTACGAAGAATCATAGTTTTTTTTTTTTACTTTGGAGGAGGGTGGGACATAGGCCTATTTATGTACGAAGAATGCATAAACATTTTCTTAAATTTTACGTTTGGAGGAGGGTGGGACATAGGCCTATATCATGTACGAAGAATCATAACCAGGTTTTTTATCAATACGTTTGGAGGAGGGTGGGACATAGGCCTATATTATGTACGAAGAATCATAATTTTTTTTTAATTAATACTTTTGAAGAGAGTGGGACAATAGGCCTATATCATATACGAAGAATCATATATTTTTTTTAACACACGTTTGGAGGTGTGACATAGGCCTATATCATGTACGAAGAATCATAACAGAAAGAAAGAGATAGAGAGAGAGAGAATGAAAGGACAGAGAGAGAGAGAATGAAAGAAGAGAGAGAGAGAATGAAAGACAGAGAGAGAGTGAAAGAAAGAAATAGAGAGAGAGAATGAAAGAAAGTGATAGAGAGAGAAGAAAAAAGAAGAAAGAGAAGAAAGAAAGTGAAGAGAAAGAGACTGAAAGAGAGAGACAAATAGAGAGAAAAAAGAAAGAAAGAAAGAAAAAAGAAAAAAAAGAAAGAAAGAAAGAAAGAAGAAAAAGATAAAGAAAGAGAGAAAGAGAAAAGAGTCTATCTTGAACGCCTAAACTACCGGTTAAGGTCATTTAGCCAAAGGGACCGATAAGGCTATTGAGAGTCATTTGGTAGTTGCGATAGAGAGACAGGACTAATCACTTTTTTCTTCTTTCTTTTTTATTTTCCTTTTTGTTTTCATTTTTTCTTTATTTTTCTTTTTCTTTCTGTTTTTTTTTTTTCTCTTTTTTCTTTTCCCCTCTTTTTTCATTTTTCCCACTCTTTCTTTCTTTTCTTCTCTTTCTCTTTTTTCTCATTCTCTCTCCATTCCTTCCTTTTCCTCTCTTTCTCTTTTTTCTTTTTCTCTCTCCATTCCTTCCTTTTCCTCTCTTTCTCTTTTTTCTTTTTCTCTATTTTTTTCTCTCTCCATTCCTTCCTTTCTTTTTCTTTTCTTCATTTTTCTTTTTTTTCTTTTCTTTCTTGTCTCTACATCACAGTCCGATCACGTCTTCGAAATCAAGGATTATGAAAGACCCCATCAAAATATAACAAGGACCCCATCAAAGACAAAACCCCATCAGAAAAGACAAGGACCCCATCAAAGACTATTTAAGACCCCATCAAAATTCACGAAAAAAATAACCATAACATGAAATAAAATAACTATAAAAGCTTCCATCAAAGGTCCCAAAGACCCCATTTAAAAGTCCTCAGAGACCCCATTAAATGCTATTATAAGACCCCTCGTCCAAAAAAGACCCCCATCAGTTCCCATAAAAGAGTCCAAATAAAGGCTATTCAAGACCCCATCAGATCACATTAAGTCCCATAAAAGACCCCAAAAAAGACCCCATCGATTGCCACTCAAGATTCAAAGGCCTCAGACAGACCATTATTTACCATAAAAAACTCATCCCTTGCCGTCATTTTCTACAAAAGTCCCCCATCAAAAGCTATACAAAAGACCCCATCAAAAGCTATACAAAAGATCCCATCATAAACCACGAAAAACGACCCCATCACAGACCAGCAAAGACCGCCGCCAAAGACCATCAAGACCCCAAAAGACCCATCAAAGACCCCACGAAAGACCCCATCAAAGACCCACGAAAGACCCCATCAAAGACCCCACGACGAAAGACCCACAAAGACCCCATCCCCAAAAGACCATCAAAGACCAAACGAAGACCCCATCAAAGACCACGAAACCCCATCAAAGACCCCACGAAAGACCCCATCAAAGACCCCACGAAGACCATCAAAGACCCCATCAAAAGAACCCATCAAAGGACCCACGAAAAGACCCCATAAAGACGCCACGAAAGACCCCATCAAAGACCCCACGAAAGACCCATCAAAGACCCCACGAAAAGACCCCATCAAAGACCCACGAAAGACCCCATCAAAGACCCCACGAAAGACCCCATCAAAGACCCCAACGACCCCATCAAAAGACCCCACGAAAGACCCCATCAAAAGACCCCAAAGACCCCATCAAAGACCCCACGAAAGACCCATCAAAGACCCCACGAAAGACCCCATCAAAGAGAAAGACCCCATCAAAGACCACGAAAGACCCCATCAGACCCCCCATCAAAGACCCCACGAAGACCCCATCAAAGACCCCACGAAAAGACCCCCATCAAAGACCCCACGAAAAGACCCATCAAAGACCCCACGAAAGACCCCATCAAAGACCCCACGAAGACCCCATCAAGACCCCACGAAAGACCCATCAAAGACCCCACGAAGACCACCATCAAAGACCCCACGAAAGACCCCATCAAAGACCCCCCATCAAAGACCCCAAAGACCCCATCAAAGACCCCACGAAAGACCCATCAAAGACGCCCACCCCCATCAAAAGACCCCAAGACCCCATCAAAGACCCCATCAAAGACCCCACGAAAGACCCCATCAAAGACCCGAAAGAACCCCATCAAAGACCCCACGAAAGACCCATCAAAGACACGAAAGACCCCATCAAAGACCCCACCAAAGACCAAAGACCCCATCAAAGACCCCAAAAAGACCCCATCAAAGACCCCACGAAAGACCCCATCAAAGACCCCACGAAAGACCCCATCAAAGACCCCACGAAAGACCCCATCAAAGACCCACGAAAGACCCCCATCAAAGACCCCACGAAAGACCCATCAAAGACCCACGAAAGACCCCATCAAAGACCCCATCGAAAGACCCCATCAAAGACCCCACGAAAGACCCCATCAAAGACCCCACGAAAGACCCCATCAAAGACCCCACGAAAGACCCCACGAAAGACCCCATCAAAGACCCCACGAAAGACCCCAAAGACCCCCGAAAGACCCCATCAAAGACCCCACGAAGACCCATCAAAGACCCCGAAAGACCCCAAAGAACCCCATCAAAGACCCCACGAAAGACCCATCAAAGACCCCACGAAAGACCCCATCAAAGACCCCACGAAAGACCCCATCAAAGACCCCATCAAAGACCCCACGAAAGACCCCATCAAAGACCCCAGACATCAAACGAAAGACCCCATCAAAGACCCCACGCCCCATCAAAGACCCCCCGAAAGACCCCATCAAAGACCCCACGAAAGACCCCATCAAAGACCCACGACCCCATCACCCCATCAATCAAAGACCCCACGAAAGACCCCCATCAAAGACCCACGAAGACCCATCAAAGACCCGAAAGACCCATCAAAGGACCCCATCATCGTCCCATCAAAGACTTACGTGTGGACGGGAAGACGCTTCTGGATCCTTAAGATGTTTTTTCAACTACACTCTTGATTTCTCTTTCTCTCTCTATTTTTCTCTTGCTTTATTTCTTTCTCTTTTTCTCTCTCTCTATCTCCTTTTCCTTCTCTCTCCCTCTCTCTCGTCTTTCTCTTTCTCTTTTTCTCTCTCTCTCAGAGACAAACAGCCACAGATACATAGAAAGAAAGACAAAAACACGAGAAAGAGAGAGAGAGGAGAGAGAGAGAGAGGAGAGAGAGAGAGAAGAGAGAGAGAGAGAGAGAGAGAGAGAGAGAGAGAGAGAGAGAGAGAGAGAGAGAGAGAACGAAAGAAAAAGAAAGAAAGAGATAGAGAGAGAAAATGAAAGAAAGAAACACAGAGGGAGAAGAGAATGAAAGAAAGAAATACAGATAGACAAAGAGCCAAAGAAAGAAAGAAAAAGAAAGAGAAAGAAAGAGAAAGAGAGAAAGAGAACAGGTCACACGGGCCAAACAGACCGAAGACTGTCTCACGGCATCAGCTGACAAATTGCGATATGTGAAAAAGGTCTTTCTGCCAAGCTGCCGGAAGGTCGGGGCTCCGCTGGGGATCGGCGGGCCAACCAAGGCAGGGGGGAGGAGGTCATGGTGTTGCTTGAGGGGGGGTTAGGGTGGGGGTGGTGGGGGTGGGGATGAGTATGGTGGTGGTGATGAGTATGGTGGTGATGAGTATGGTGGTGGTGATGACTATGGTGGTGGTGATGACTATGGTGGTGATTATGATGTAGTGGTGACTATGATGGTGGTGATGAGTATGGTGGTGGAGGCAACAAGGCACGGAGGTGAGGTCATGGTGTTGCTTGAGGGGGGTTAGGTTGGGGTGGGGATGAGTATGGTGGTGGTGATGATAATAGGTGGTGGTGATGACCAAGATGCTGGGGTGGTGAGGTCATGGTGTTGCTTAGGGGGGGGTAAGGGTGGGAGTGGTGGTGGTGGTGGTGGGGATGAACTATGGTGGTGGTGATGACTATGGAGGTGGTGATGACTATGGTGGTGTTGATGAGTATGGCGGTGGTGATGAACTGATGATGACTATGGTGGTGGGTGATGAATGTGCGTTGACTATGGTGGTGGTCGTGATGATGACTATGGTGGTGGTGGTGAATATGGTAGTAATGGTTCTGAAAAAGGAGAGGAAGAGAAGATGGTAGTGGTAATAGTAGTGGTGGTGAAGCAGGTGGAAGAGGAGGGAGAAGAGGAAGAAGAAACAAGAAAATAAAAGAAAATAAAAAAGATAGGAAATACCACAAAAAAGAGTTATAGGCTGACGATGACAAAGAGGAGTAAGAAGAAGAAAAAGAAGAAAAGAATAAAACTAATACATAAAGAAAAGGAAAGCGCAGAAAGGAGCCAATAAGAGATTACCGAAAACAGGGGAAAAAAGAAAAAGAAAAAAGAAAAAGAAAGAAAGAAAAAAGAAAAAGAAAAAAGAAAAAAAGAAAAAGAAAGAAAGAAAAGAAAAAGAAGAAAGAAAAGAAAAAAAAGAAAAGAAAGAAAGAAGAATAAAATAAATAAATAAAAGAAAAGAAAAAGAAAGAAACAAAATAAAAAAAAGAAACAAATAAAGAAGAAGAAGAAAAAAAGCCTTCGAAGGAGGTCGCAGACAAAGTGGGGGGGGGGGGGACTTTACTTCCAAGAAACCGAGACACAAAAACGTTTAGATATTTTTGTTGTATCGAGACGGGCCGCCGGAGAGAGCCGCTAGTCGCCCTGGGGGAGATGCCCGCAGCGGTGAGCGCTTGTCATCCTCCTCCTTCTCCTCCTTCTTCGTCCTTTTCTCTTCCTCCTGCAGCTGATTCTTCTCCTTCGTCCTCTTTATTTTCCTCTTCATTCTCCTTCTTCTCCTTCTTTTTTTCCTCTTCCTTCTCCTTCTTCGTCTTCTTTTCCTCTTCCTTCTCGTCCTTTCCTTTTCCTTCTCCTTCTTTGTCCTCTTCTTTTCCTCTTCCTTCTCCTTTTTCGTTCTCTTTTTTTCCTCCTCCTCCTTCATTCGTCCTCTTCTTTTCCTCCTCCTCCTCGCCCTTTTCTCTTCTTCCTGATCCCTCTCTTTATTTTTCTACTTTTTCTTCTTCTCCTCCTCCTTCTCGTCCTTTTCTCTTCCTCCTGCAGCTGATTCTTCTCCTTCTTCGTCCTCTTCTTTTTCTCCTTCTCGTCCTTGTTCTGTTGCAGCAAATCCTACCTTTTCTCTTCCTCCTGCAGCTGATCCTTCTCCTACTCCTTCTTCTTTTTCACCTCGTCCTTGGTGTGTCGCAGTAGCTCCTCCTTCTCCTTCTTCTTCTCCTCCTTGTCCTTGTTCTGTGGCAACAGCCCCTTCCTCTTCTCCTCCCCCTCCTCCTATTTTGTTGCAGCTCCTCCTCCTTCTTCTCCTTCTCCTCGCCCTTGCTCTATTGCAGCCCCTCTCCCTCCTTCTCCTTGTCCTTGTTCTGTTGCAGCTCCTCCTCCTCCTCCTCCTGCTCCTTGTTCTGTTGCAAAAGAACCTTCTTCTTCTTCTTCTTCTTCTCCGCCTCCTGCAGCACCCATTCCTCCTCATCTTTCTTTTCCTCCTCATCTTTCTACTCCTTCAGCATCTCCATCTCCTCTTCCTTCAGATCTTCCTTTCTTTCCTTCTTCCACATCCTCCTCCTTCCCTTCCTCTCCCCCTCTACAGCGCCTCCTCCTCCTTCCCTTCCTACCGTTCCTTCTCCTCCTTCTCCTGGTCTTCCTCCTGCAGCACCTCCTTCTCCCTTCCTACCTACAGGCCCTTCTCTTCCTCCTCCTCCTTCGCCTCCTCTTCCCCTTTGCAGCGGTTCCTCCTCCTTCCCTTCCTACAGTTCCTTCTCCCTGTCTTTCTTCTCCTTCTCCATGTCTTTCTCTTCCTTCTCCTCTTCTTCCTCCTGCTTCTCCTCGTCCTCCTTTCCTCTTCCTCCTCCTTCTCCTCCTTGTCCTCGTCTTCCTCCTCCTTCGCCTCGTCTATCTCATCCTTCTCCTCGTTTTCCTTCTATTCCTCCTCCTTCTCCTCGTCCTCCTTCGCCTCCTCTTCCTCCTCCTTGTCCTCGTCCTCCTTCGCCTCCTCTTTCTTCTCCTTCTCCTCGTCTATCTCCTCCTCCTCCTGCAGTGCCTCCTACTCCCCCCCCTGGTGATAGCACAAATATCCTGTGTTAAGATTCTGTGACTGTTACCTGAAAGAAATTTTAAGAATTAATTAA